CTTAAACGAATGGATTGTTGGCTGAGTTAAACCTAATTCGGACAAGGTTGTGTCCGGATTACTAAGAAAAATGACGGTGATTGAACAATGTAGAGCCTAAACCCGTTGATCCTATGTCCGGATTACCTTGAATACGGTAGACCCTTTGAGCGATTTAGACTAAACACGCCCGCCTTAACCTGTGATTAACAATGAAATCGACCCAAAACGAGCAGACCTTAAATCGTACAACACAACCTGCGATTTATAGCAAAATCGAACAGGCTATTGTCCGATATAGGTAGAAACCGGAGGAGTTGAGCGATTTAGTAAGAAGACAAAAAGAAGCGAGCGATTTTGTTAGAAACCAGACAAAGCTATATGCGATTTAGCCAAGTCCGGTCAAGAAGCACTAATCCACCACTAATCTGTCCAAAATCAAAATCAACCTATGAACCTTTGAACGATTTGGCTTAAATCTGGATAACCTGTATGCGATTTAGAATAAATCGGTGAAAGTGATGTGCGAGATACACTTAAATCGTTCAAGGCAATGTGCGATTTATCTAAAATCGACCAAAACCAGCTAGGGCAGTGGCCGGAGAAGACTGAAGAGCGTTAGCCTAAATCAGTTGACCCCTTGTACGATGAAGATGAAGATGTTCGATGTAGATGAGATGTGCAAAGAATGAAGAATCAAGATGAAGTAGCCTACGATTAGAAGAAAACTGATGGAAAAAATTTTGTGCGATGAAGATAAACAGATGGGCTTATGAAAACTGGATGGGCCTGTATGATTATGGGCCTTGAGCGGATTAGACAAAAAAAAAACTTTTAGTAAAAAAATGGATCAAACATAAAATTTTAAAAAAAATCAAGAACACAAAAAAAATTTCAAAACACAAATTTAAACATATCTCAAAATCGAATGATCAAACCATGAAATCGCGTGAATAACAAAGATTCACGATTCTAAAACGCACACTTTGATCACGGTTTTAACACCAAAACTTAAAATTTTGAAAATATTTTGGATCAAACTCAAAAAAATTAAGAACATGAAGAACAAAAATGAAAAACACAGAAAATTTCATCAAAAAAAACTTCAAAAACGATGATTTATTCTTCTTGATTTCGTGCAAACACAGCTCTGATACCAATTGATAGGTCACTTTAAGATCAATATTCATAAACCTTGTATGAATCAATGGCAGATTTGATTTTCATTCAAGAACAATATGGAGGGAGATTGAGAGAAAAGGTCAAAGTAGTCAAACTTCATAAAACGTATATGAATATTACAATGAAGCTCTTACTAAAATTACACAAAGACTAAGCTATTTATAGGGTCAAACAATAACCCTCAAAGTCAAAGTCAAACTCACTAGAAAAGTCAAACACGATGTCTATTTTACAATTATAGACAATTTTATCTTTTCAAGACGAATACAATTTATACTGAAATTCAGTACTAACACTCTCGATTACATTTTCTCTCTGCTTGCCTTGATCATAACCCCCACGTATCTGACCTTGCGCACCTAGACCTACTGGAACCTTACTCAGCTCGTCTACGGCATGAGCGGCTCCTTGGGCAGGTCCCTCCGGTTCTAGTTGGACCACCGGAGTATTTTGTTGCCTATATTCTAACACACTCAGTGCGTTCTGATCAACATATGCCAGTAATGATCATGGTATCGGAAGTACTTCTAAATTCTCCCTTTCTTGTGCTTTCAGAGATATAGCATCTCATATTCCAGACCAGGTTCAACATTCAATCTCTTAGGAGTGTCCGAGTTTGATCTAATCATGCCGCGTATGATCAGTTGCAAAAAACTCTAGAATGGTACAAACTTTTTGGCTTTAGAAGTCTTGGATTTGTCATTAACGACTTTCCAAAGCTTATTCCAAAAGATTATGGCGTAGTCGTAATGTTGTTGAAAGCAGCGCCATGAAATAACCGAAGAAACGATGTGTTGCACCTGTCTAGGCATGTTGCTTTAGAAGTTAGACACCTATTCAGAATTCAAAAGAATGTGTGCCATAATGAAGGTAAATGCATCCTTCTAAAGCCTGTTGGATTTCGAAGTTCTTGAGAATATCCCAAGCCACAAATATTTGTACATATCTCAGTGTCTGAAATGAAATCATCAATAACCAAATTTACTAGGCCAAGCGCCTGCCTCTCGCAGTGCTAGAACTCTTTGTAGTCTTGGTACTGTAAGTTGTATTAGGTAGATGGCATAAGATGTTCATCATCAGAATGGTTTGAATCCCGTTGTTCAGAGTCTGTCATTTGGACCCTGAATTAAACACACATTAGCATAAAACCCTTTAAAAATCATTTTTTTTTTAGCAAAAACCTTGATTTTGAAATTTTTTCTAAGCGTGAAGTATATTGCACACTACTGAAAACAACCATATGTCGCACAAAGAAGGAATATTGTTGTGCGACAAACCTGTATATCACACAAAGGAGGTGCATGTCCCTTGAAGAACAACATATCACACACCAAAGAAAACAAGTGTGTGCAATATCCACATATATCTCAACAAAGATGCAATATCCACCCAGACAAGTATGTCACACGACAAAAAGAAATACATATGCGATAAACCTATATATATTGCATAATACATAAAGTTGAAGATGCGATATAAACCCTAATTTGAGATCAACTTTGTAAATTAATGTGATAACAAATGGCCTTTTTTCATGCTTCTGAATTCTTAATAAATTGTTTAACTTTTGTAGATTAATAACACAGTCGTACTTAAAGTGATGATTTGGGCAGTTTGGTATATCTGTTATTCGGACTTTTAAAGTACTTGATTCAAAAACTTAATGATTTAATTATATATTTGGATGATTGTAATAACTAATAATTTCGATTTATATATTTTTAGTCATTTTTATCGTATTGTATTCCTCAATGTCATGAATACTACCAAATCGTTCAACCATCTAACCCGCTACAACATGTAAGAGTTGGATTATACTTTTGAAGGAGTTGGGTTGAGTAGAGATTTTTCTAAATCGCCGTAGTTAGATTGGGTTTTAAAAAATAAAAATATCCCAAACCGTCCAACCCAACCCGTATGCACCTAAGGATATCCATATCTATACTATATTACAAAACATTTAACAAAAACTCTTAAAAACCATTTTTATGCATAAAATACTGTTTATTGATGCATAATACTTAAAATTCAAGATTGCAAGTAAATTATGCGTAATTACAACTTATTAAAGCTTCATATTTGAATTTGTGTAACTAATTACAGATAAAAATATATCAAATACAAGATGAACATCTCATTGTAAATATAAAAAGATCTAAAAAATAATTGTGATAATCATGAGTTTTAACAGAATATTTAATTATTATCTTTATAGAAAATTATATTATTAAACCAAAAATAAATTACTTTGTTGTTAAACCTAAATTAAATTATAATAAAAAAAATTAAATTAAAGAAATTACACATAAAAACGAAAACTTTTAAATAGTTAATTTGATACTAATGTTGATATTTTTTTCAAAATTTTAAAATATCTTCAAGTTTATATTTTATTCAAAAGTAAAAACATTATTGCTTTTCAAAACCACATAAAATGGTATTACAACATCGATGAAAACAAAAAATAAAATGAAACATTAAAATCAAGATATATCTTATTGTATTGTACGAATACCATTCTATACTTTATTAATATATATACACACACTCAAAAGGAACACATCCAATCGTCATTCCATCCCATGACGCCTTCCAACGAGTCTCATCCTCCCTACTACATTCATCTTCTCGAGTCTCCAACAAGATAACAATGGGCATATCTCTGGCTTCGCCATCTTCAATCATATTTCCTTTCGGTTAAGGGATTCTTTATATAAAATCCCGAGAGTAAAGTCGAAACGATTGGGATTAATCGGGCCTTTTAGGAATGGGTTTTGGTTGAACCCAAGACCGATATCAGAACTAAGCTCGTTTGTACGCCTCTAACATCAATTATAACCTGACCGATACAGTTAGCTCTTGATATTTTTGTGATTTCCAAAACTTGGTAAGAAAAAATGATTCGCTAATTATTGACTTTAATAATATTATAGTTTAAAAGCAATAAAACGTAATTTTTGTAAATCTCCTTTAATATGAGACTAGTTGTGTACATGCGTAATGCGGCGGGAGCCGTGAATTTTAATGATTTTGAAGTTTCACTGGTTTTATTAGATAAGATTTAACGATGATATAAGTTACACTTAGTCTTTACATATTAATACAATTTGAATAAATAAGAGTTATGGTTCCAATTACAGTGTATGGATGAAAAAAATTGTATCACAGTTTAAAATCCAATACATTTAAAATCCAACATATTTAAACGACTCCACAAATGTGTTCGATTTACACTAAGAGCAAAGAATCAAGAGACCAAGAGTTCTAGAGCAATTGAATGAGAAAACTTTTAATAACTCATGATGAATATCAGTTTGAATCTCACATTGGAGGATGGGAAGAAGACATAGATGCATGAGAAGGTGAAGACATAAATGAAATGTGTCAAAAGTATTTTGAGAACATGAAAAGAAAAAGATAACAATATGCATTAGTAACTTGTACTATATATTATTTTAATTGTAGATTAAAAGATTTTAAGACTGAATACATAAAGTAGTAGTACTTAATGCATTATAAGTTGTTTTGACTTTATGCATAAATATATAGTACTTTGTGCATTAAAAATTGTTTTTAAGACTTTTGATAAATCTGGTTTATAAAGTAGTATAAATGAGTTGTTTTTAAGACTTTGTATATAAATATATAATATTTTATGTATTAAAAATTATTTTTAAAATTTTTAATAAATCTGATTTATAAGATAGTATATAACAAAGAGTCTTTACATAATTACATTTGTATGTGGTCCTAGCCCCTAGTCCACATGCTATTCGGATCATAACCCGACCCATGTGCCCGTTATCCAATAGCGTGTGGACCCAAGTTGTGAATCCAAAATCGATAGAAATCTGTGTTCAGTACCACTGCAAAACTACAAAAATCCAGGGGGAAAGCTGTCAACGATCATCCTGCCAAGATCAAAACCCCCCTTTTCTCCACTACTTCAACAACTTTTCTACACCGCCACCTGCTGCATCTCCTCCAATATGACTTGATAATACAACATGGGAGCCTCGTTGTCCAATTTGACCGAGTGGGGTCCCATCGCCGGCGACGGACCGGGACTCGGGGACATACCCGAGAGCTGCGTGGCGTGTGTTTTTTTGTATCTTACGCCACCGGAGATATGTAATCTAGCACGCCTCAACCGAGCGTTCCGTGACGCGGCGTCTTCGGACGCCGTGTGGGAATCGAAACTTCCACATAACTACCACGATCTTCTGGACCTATTGCCTCCGGAGATGTATCAAAACCTGTGTAAAAAAGACGTATTTGCTCTCCTTTCTCGTCCTGTGCCGTTCGATGATGGCAATAAGGCAAGCATGTAAATTTTGTTATTTCATTTCCTTATCTTTTTGGGCTTCTATTTTAAATTTTTTTCCATTAGGGTTTTTGTTACCAAATTGGGGTTGAAGCTCCTTTTCTTCGGATTGAAACCTAAATTTTATTGAACTCTAGTTATTAACATGAATTTTATGTTCGAGTATAGCATCTTGTTGGTTTCCAGGAATGGTTGAAGGTAGTGATATTAGCTAACTCCCCTTAATTACTAGTTTCCAGGAATGGTTAAAATCACTGATTATCAGCTAACCTCGTAATCACTATTATCTTGGTTCCATAACTAATTCCAGTTTCCATAATTGACTAGATTTAGGATATATGTACTATTCTGAGTTGTATTCTTGAGGAAGTTGACATTTTTACTATAAATATGACACTTTTTTTTAACACACTCTTTTCTTACCTTTTTTTCTTTTACACTGTTTTTATGTTGAACCAACTGCTTGATTATAGAGCATGATGGGATTGAGGTTTTGGGGATGCTGGAATTTTATCTAAAGAGTTGTACGAAGATGGTTTTTATATAAACTAGCGTTGCAAAGTCTTATCAAGTGTGTATCCTTCTATCTTTAAAATGCTTATAACTTTGTAATTCATATAATTGAGGAAGCATGGGATTGCAAGCCTTATGGTTATATCTATAATTCTAAATATGCATTTTTTTGGGTACACATGTATTTTTGAATGATTTAGGATAATGCTAGTAGAGCTATTGGCGTGAGGCATATTAGTTTAGTTTGACATGTGATCAAGGCTAGAGTTTTATTTAGTTTGCTATTGATACTTTGTTTTGCTTTTTGTTGGAGAATGGCAACTGGCAAGTATTTCCAAAAGAGGAGCCTTAAATTGGATGCCAAGTGTTGGGTATTTGTTAATATGCATCACTTTGAAATATGGAATATTGGAATGTGGCAGGAAGTATGGTTGGATAAGGTTACTGGAAGAGTTTGCTTGTCGATATCCACCAAGTCAATGTCAATAACTGGAATAGAAGACCGGAGATACTGGAATTGGGTTTCTACCGAAGAATCTAGGTTGGATTACCATATGCTTCTGTAATTCATAGTTGTTTAAAATAATGCAAGCTATGACTTGATAAGATACAGCCTACATATAGATAATGTTGGAAATGTAGCAGTAGGCTGCATATCATGTTAGGATCCAATGTTTACACTCTAAGAAAGACGATTTGATATATAAGTTTTATCTATAAAAGAATAAAGAGAAATGAACAAAAATGATGTGTTGATTTTGTTGTATGAACATCATGCCTGTTAAAGTTTTTGCTGAGCGGTTAATCTTCCTCCTGTTCTCATTACTTGTTCTCTTGACCTAGTATTAGTTAGCCTGACTTGTATTGGTGGTTGCTTTTGCAGGCTTCGTGAAATTATTCTTTTGTATGTTTTTGTATGGATATATCATTAACTCCATTTTGCCGGAATTAGAAAAAATTTAATTATGGGGATATCTTCTACAAAGAAAATAATCAGTCACATTTACGTAAAGACAACAACTAAAGGGATTTTAAAAAACATTTGTATTTCATGGAGAAGGGTGGGTGGGTAATTTCCCTAGGTTTTGGCCCTAGCCATATGCGGCCGAAACTTGTCTTTGTTATTTCATGGTTTCCGGCTATTCATAGCCTGGATTTTATCTTAAATTCAATTCTTTCTTCTGCTAGTGGAAGTTGACTTTTGAAGCCTTTTGATGAACATGCTATCAACATCAATGATAATGATGTTTGTTCTTATCACAAACAGGTGATTGTTGCTACTAATAGTGAGATTCAAGGGTCTTATTGCATCAAAATAAGCCACAAGTGGATTATTAAATATAGAAGAGGATAGTTCATTGGTTAGTGGGCTCAATATTCTACCCAAATAGTATAAAAGTACCACTGAATAAATATGACTACATATGTGTCCCCCATCTGAGTAAAAGAAACAATAACTAGGTGTACATAAAGACAGATATGTAGCCAAGTCATGAATTGGCCCATGGCTTATCATAGTTGGCATGGATAGCACTTTAATGGCTCAAATTGAAGCAAGAAGGTTCATAATTTGGACTTGCATATTGTGATATATGATTTACTTTTTTGCGTCAGCAGGGGTCATATATAGAATTCAGCCTTGATGTAGAAGCTATTGTGTTATCTCCTGTGGATTTCCGTAGATTTCTTATTTTATCATGTCCTATGGATGTTCTTAGTTCTTACTATTTGATTGTTATTAAGGGATGATGCAGAAGGCATAACTGTGATCTGAAATTGGATTAATAGTAAAAATGAACTTTTGTTTTATATTCATTCTTGCGTTCATTGGGAATCTCATGGACGGTGATGAGTCATATAAGACTATGCTATATCTACTTGTGGGAAAGCATGGAAAAGTTAATCACATTGGGATGTTTTGACCCTAAAAGTTTGTGCTAATTTTTGTAGTTGAATTCAATTGTTTGTGATGTTTATGCTGTTAGATTGTACCAACAACTTTCTATAGAGAAGTTGGTGATATCTATAGTTCGAATAAAGTTTAGCTGTTGCGCACCTGTTGTATTTTACATGTGTGCACGTGTAAATAGGCCGGGATGGAGGGAGGTGAAACATTTTGCTATTTGCTTTTCTTTACTGCCTTTCTCTTTCTTCACTCTCCACATGTCACATCTGATCAAAATTGGCTTCTTACCAACTGTCTCTCTCTCAATCTAGTTCTCCCTCTTCTTTTCTTGCATATCGAGTAAATGCCCCCAATAATGGAAGAGGGTGATGCCTTTCTTGTTGATCAGAAAATGTATTTTTATGTGCTTACTTCATTCTGGCTTTCATCAAGCTTTAGTACATCTAAATGTACACAAGATAGTTAGAGGTGAAAGCACAAAGAAAGAGATCTCTCTTTCTAAGTACTACTGTATCATTCATCTTTACATCACCCTCCATCGTATTCAGAAAAGTTAAAAATTTCTTAGCTATTACTTCTCCCTTTTGGATTTCTGTAGTTCCAACTTGTCCAACAGATACTGAAGGAAGAGTTGTTGTCTCCTATATGCAAGTTCAAAATTGACTTCTAGGACTGCCTTTTATCAACTTTAGTTGCTGTAGTTCTAACTTCTAAGTTTCACTGTTTCTTTGGGTTGTATATCAGCGTCTCTTTCCTTCTGGGGAAGCGAGGACAGATAAGCTTGGAGAAATAATGATCTGTAGAATCAACATCTTTGAGTTCCATTAGTATTGTGGATGTAAACCTTTTCAGTTTTGGTATTGAATTGAAGTCACTTTGGACAAAAACATTTGTTATCGAACCGATTTTGACTTATTATCTAGGATTTGAAGTATAATAATATGGACAACTTAAAACTTTAGTTTGAGGATGTGCTGAACAGCTTGGTGATTAGTGGGAATCATCTCAATGCAACACATTCAATTCTTGAGAGGCATTCGGAGAACAAGGTGGTGGAGGGTAGTGATGTCTTTGGAGGTGAGAGAGGGAGAAAGATGTTTGGAGCTGGTGAAATCTTGGAACAATTTATGGTGGTCATATCCATGTAGAAGTCTTTTTTTTTTGGAGAGGTAGAGAGAGAGAGAGAGAGAACAGATGACTTGATGTTACAGGTGAAGGTGGATAGAATATGGGTGAATGCAGAGCAACAGAAAGAGACAATGTAAGACAGAGACTGAGATAGGGTGTAAAATATATTGAGAAAGGGTAGAAAGTGAGTTAGCATGTATTTTTAACTTCTAGTATTTGGTCTAGAAGATAACATTCTGGAGATGTTGTGGAAATCCTCATCTTTGTTCTGATTCAATACAATCACTGCAGACACATAATTTGATAACTTTGAACTTTTTGTAGAGAGAATGTATGTCCTATAGCATCATGGAAGTAACTATTGCAATTAATTCCGTGTGTGGTTTGGAGTCATGGAAGTTTCAGTATTGATGACAATGGCTTTATGGTTTCTTTGTTCGGACAAATAGGACAAACAAAATTGCTGATGTGATAACTGGAGTGCTCATGTGGATTGGATCTGTTTACCAGGTTTCTTGGTACAGAAGATTGTAGATTTCTATCTTGCAAGAATAACCGGGCTACTATGTTATGTACATCAGTTGCTTGTCATTAGGTTACCGGTATTAATTTATAGTAGAGATTTGGCAACCCCAAAAAAGTTACTGTTGCACTTATCATTTTTTTGTGAGAAGAGAGAGAGAGAGAGAGAGAGGGTGTAAACTTGAGGAGAGAAAACATGTATAAACTTGCATGGATTTTCTACAAAAAAGAAAATGTTGCAAGTTGGCAACTTTGGGGATTGCTAGCTTTTGTTGCATCTTCAACCTTATTTTGTTTATTTCGACCCCAACTTATTGGATCATGGTTCATTTTGGGTTTAGAACAGCTAGTTCTTAGTCGATTGCTATTTCTCTCCCCTCCAAATCATAGACGTTCATGCAAAAATATATGCACCAGTATTCCACTATTCTCAGACTATAGCCTGATGTTCCCTTGTAGTCCATTTTATTAGGCTTTAACACTTATTTAGGTGTGTTCCAAATCATTCGAGTATGTTTTGAGAGATCAGTTGTGATACATGTGGATCTTGTCTTCCTTTGCTCATGCCCATAGCAGGTGTCTTTTTGACTCATGTAATGATGAATGTGAAACGGAAATGAGAGAGCTTCTTTCTGCCACATAACCAGATCATCATAGTTTGATACTATTGTGGATCAGAAAATTGGAACTCTGATGGATATCCTGTCAGCTTACGAAATGTAATTTAATTCTAGGTTCACAATCAATTGCAATTGTCTTGGACAATAGCAACAGTATCCTTAGATTGTCAGATAAGTTCATTGGGATTAAGCACCATTAAGAGTGGTTCTTAGTAACCATGTTTGAAGGGTTTGGCATTGGTGTACTTGGGAAGCCATTCCAATTGGTTAGAACTGGACTTATTCTAAGTTATTAATATTTCATGTTTGATTGAGTGTCAATGCCTGTCTTTGCCCCTTGGAGTTGCTCTTTTTCATGGTATGGAGCAATATGCAATTCATAAGTCTTGTGCTTTTTCTGGAGCAGAAGTTATGAGCTAAGAGTGTGCATAAGAGTTTTATAATAACTAAATAGCCAACGAGCATCCTTCATGTGCTGGTCAAAGTGGTTTCTTTTGGAGGTCAGAGATTTTTATTTTTTAACGTTACATTTTTATGGTTATAGGCCCAGTGTCAGGCCAACATAATAAATGATGAACATAGGACTTTGCATTGTGTCAACTTTTCAATCGATTAAGTCACCTAGCATTCCCCACCGACATTTACGATTACACAAGCAACTGTGGATAGACCTTTATAAGGCCTTATGGTTGGTTAAAACCAAGTTCATGGACGATTCCTACCCACCATTAGAGATTACAGTTTTAAAATAGAGCTGTCCATGAAGTTGACTTAGGGGCTGTTTACTGAATGCTTACCGTGTAAGTGCTTACCAATAAGAATCCCACCGGCACTTACCTTGTCGGATAACATTCTCGGTCATCAAAATGAATTGTTTGTAAGTGTCTCTTACCTGTTAATGCTTAACGGGTAAGAGTCTTCTTCCTCACTTACCGGGTAAGAGTCTTGGTCATTGCCATGCCGCTTACCGGGTAAGATTCTCGGTCATTGCCATGCTCATCCAGTAAGGTAACTGACATCCGGTAAGCGCTTATCCGGTAAGTGATGGGTAAACGACCTCTTACTCAGAATATATACAAAACACATCCTTTGACATATTTTTCTGTGGTAAGTAAAGTATTTTGAATAATATTGGTGTCATTTTTTATTTCTGCTATTTTCTGTGTATTCCAATGCTTCTTCCCTGTGAGTGCTTAGTTGCAGCTGTCGGATGTGCATTATTAATTGCAAATGCCACGAGTTGATATGTCTGGAACATAAAGTAACAAGACCAGAACCCCGTGTGGACTATGAACCAACAAAAAAAAGAGCGTCAGCCCCAAAAAAAGGATTGTTTGCATTACTAAAATTGTACTTTACAGTTAATAGCGATGATAACTGCTGTGCCAATACCCAGCTTGAGCATTAGTCTTTACTTTTTTATATTGGTGCTTGACCTGCATTGTCCACTAGATGATGAAAGAGATGCCTATAGCGGTCCCTGGTGTCCGCTTTAATGCTAGTTTAGCAATCAATCTGCCTTGTCCAGTTGTCTATGTAAAACCTAGTGCAGTTGTAAAAGTTGGTAATATTAACTTTTTTTGAGCAGATCTTCATTCCTCTAATCAGCAATTCCTCATTCCTTCCTGCTTTTCAAAATAAAGATTCATTTGAAATTTATACTGACGGATAAGTGCTCTAATCGACAGATCTTAAATAGTATTGGTTAATACTTTTGACTTAATTGGAGGTTGTGGCGTTAAAACCATTCTTATATGTTGCACACTCCTGTAATAGAATCTGCTAAATGATTTAAAAAACACCAGGTGCTATGTGATTGTTAAGAGCCAAATTTCCATCTTTGCGTCTTCAGTGCACATTATATCACTCTGTTGCCTTAGTCCATGTAGTGCCAGATACTTTGTTCAAATATGAGGATGCACTTTGTTTCTCTTATAGTAAAGCTAAAACTTAATACATAAGTTGTCAATAAATCATGGTAAAGCGTATTATCGCATTATTCTGAAAATGATTTCAATTTCTTTACTTTTCATATGTCATGGTTTTCTTTTGTAAGGTTTTCACATTTGTTGTGTTTTTGCATTAATTAATGGCTTTAAAAGTAAGGAGAACATATTGATTCTGCTAGTGTTTGCAGGTTCAATATTGTGGCTTATTTGCAGCAAATATGGTGGTTTGAGGTGGATGGCTGTGTGAAGTTCCCTCTTCCAGCAGATATCTATACATTGTCATTTAGAATACACCTGGGAAGATTCTCCAAAAGGCTTGGTCGACGTGTTTGCTATTTTGAACACACCCATGGTTGGGATATAAAACCGGTAAGGTTTGATTTGTCCACGTCAGATGGTCAAGAAGCATCTACTGTATGTTTTTTAGATGATTGTGCTGAAGATGAGGCAAATGGATGTCAAAAACGGGGTTGCTGGATAGATTACAAGGTAGGGGAGTTCATTGTAAACGAGTCCAATCCTGCCACTGAAGTTCGATTCTCAATGAAGCAGATAGACTGCACTCATTCAAAAGGTGGCATTTGTGTAGATGCAGTATCTATAATCCCCAGCGATCTTAAAGCGGGTAAAAGGAGAATGGTGTTGAAGTAAGTTGTGGCATATGTTGTGTGTAGCTTTTTCAGTGATCCCTACATGTTTTAGTTAGGATATATATATATATATATATATAAATATATATATATATATATATAAATATATATATATATATATATAATGCAGTCTATACTTCAGAAAGCATTTGGTTGCTATCAGGAGGATTTCTTCTTGATTGATTTTTGCAATTAGGTATGTGTCCTCCATGTCCATGAATAATTGTTGTAGATGTGCTTATGATTCAATTTTGCTTCATCACATATTTGTTAGCATTATTTCCATATTCAAATAGCGGCTTTGTCAAAATTTAAATGTTGTAATGGAATGTTATGCGTTATTGCCTTCTTTGATTTGCTTTTATCATGCCTCACCACTAATATTTTGTTAGCTTTCACTCTACAACCATGGGGTTTTTCTCTTTATTGAAAGGATCTTTCAGGTTATCTCCTATGGTTGAAGGCATTTATGTAGATAGCCATGCTCTGCATGATACTAGCAGCTAATTAAGACCTCATATAGAAGATAGCGAGCTTCTGAATTGCATGCATCTGATAAAACTATATGAGGCCACCGTGTTCCAATATGATATTGTACGATTTATTTAAGTGACTACTGTTATCTACGAAATTTTGGATTTTGCATTTCATTGTTTAGTTTTAGCATCTCCAATCTTACTCCCTACATAAAAAAATCATACGAGGAAAATAACAAATTATTACCCCAATCGTGCTTGCTATTTTAACAAATATACATTATTGTAATAGTAATTTTTCCCACTTTTTGAGTAAAACAAAATAGGCACAACATGGTGTACATGCATATACAATAAAATAATGTAGATTATTTGTAAGGATCTCTTTACATGTAGTGAGCGAGATACTGTAGGGATCTCATTGGAGATGCTCTTACACTAGACAATGAAATGCATCCCTGAACAAATGCTTTACTTTTATCTTCAAGTTGCAGTTTGTCATTTTCCCCTATAAATTTGGCCATTTTCTCTATAAATCAAACTTCAGCTTTTCATTTCATGATCTGATAATCTGTTTATGCTTTAATCACAAAATCAAAGCTTAGGACAGAAGGAATATTTGATTCTTAGGTTTGACCATCATGCACTTGATCTTCTACATAGATCCCTTTTCTATCTGTAGAAGTTATCCATTTCTGTTTGTCAGATATATATATATATATATATATATATATATACATACACACACAGATATATACTTGGGATTGTGTGAGAATAACAAATAATGAGAATGGTGAGAACACTTCTGAGATGAGATGATTTCTTGATCTAACTTCCTGTACCTTTTACTCTTCATTTTAATTCAGTTTAGTCACTTTCATGTACTTTTTCATACATTTTAATCACTTCCACATGTATAAATTTGTTAAAGTTTCGGTCATAATAATAAAAATAGGTAAATAAAGGTAGACGAATGCATCAATGAATATACAAGTTCTCACGGTTCTCATATTTTTGTGGTTCTTATGTGAACCTGAGCCTCTCTCTCTCTCTCTCTCTCTATATATATATATATATATATATATAAGATGGATATCTGTGAGTTGAAAAGCAAATTGTATGTGATGACGGATCTTGAGACGGGTATCAGTCGGGGGAACTTGCCTCATGGATGAATCTCTCAGCAGCTGCATAGTTTGAAGGGATTGATAAACCGGGAGGAAGTATCGATGAGAAGAAAATATGAATTCGATTCAACTCCTTGTGTAAGTGTTTCTTTGACACCATTGACATAAGTTTTACTCCATACCATTATTTTGAGCTGAAGCTAACAAAGTGCAGAGCAAGGTACGTTATTCACTGCCTATAGTACAAGTTACTGTACCCTTTTTGCTCTGGATTTTGCATTTTTAGCTCTGGAAAAGCAATTTGGTTTTGTTTTACCCTTCTTTTAGCCTAAGATAAAAGTTGTTAAGCTCATATAAAGTCTTTGTTACCATCTGTTTGATGCTCTTTTAGGGTACCTTCATAATAAGTCTTGCATGGGACAGACATATTTGACTCTGACTGACAAAATTAATATCCTACATATACACATCATAAAAGGTCTGTATGTTGACCCAAAAGACCCCTTTTACTCCAAAAACCTATTATTTGGCCTTTGAAAATATTCCGAAAGTAAAGTTTTTATATATTACTTGATATGAGGAAATTGCATTTTCTAGTTCCCCACAAACAGATTTCACTGTATCCAGACCAGCATCCTCAAGATG